ACCTAAATGTGGACAATATTTCATCTTTATTTGGTGTAAAATGTTTTTCTGTTTCTGTGAACAAATATTATTGAAGGTATCAGAGAGGAGAGAAATAATAATTGAGGCAGTATTTCTGAAATGTTGACGGAGAGGCTGGGGGAAGGAGGAATTGATAGGGAAGAAAAAATAACAAATCTATATTCAAAAAAAAAAATATGGTGGAATGATGATACTAAACAATCAGTTTCAAAGGACAATTTGCTGTTACTCGTAAATAGGGTATGAATTTTATAGCTTTTAGAAGAGAGAAGGGGATTACTTCTCAAAAACTGTGGAAACTGGTATTCCTTGCTTATGAAACAATTTTATCTAGATCATGTAATTTTCTACTGTAAGAAAACATGGTGGTGTCTGCTTTGGAGAAACTTGTCTATTACAGTAAGCAATAGGAACAGAAACTGTAAAATACAATTTCTATCTTTGGTTTGTTGAGAAAAAAGGTAAGAGAAAAGGGGAAAATAAAAAAGAATATAAATCACTTGAAAGAAATGACACCAATAAAAGACAGTAACCAAATAATTAAATAAATATTGGACAGTAATATAAATTAAAGGTCTCACTTAAAAATAATTGTTTTATAGGCCAACTAGATGGAAAAATTATAAAAGATGATAAAACATTAAATAAAGAAATAACATAGCTTTAAAGAGATAATCCAAAATTAATGAAATGACTACATGATAAATTATTAGCAGAATAAATGGATACCAGGGGAAGGTGCATTTTAAAAAATCTATGACATATTACATTAAATCAAAAGCCAGACTATATTTTGTATTACCATATCTATAACAGTACTAATAAGCTATTTATATTAATTTTCAAATATCTTCTAAGAGAAAACCAGAACACTTTCAAGCATTAAAGTTTTAAATTTTTAAACCTTTTCTGAATATTTAAAAAAAATTATCATTTATCTACAAAACATATAGTAACCATAGTTGTTACTATTTTTTTTTTGAGTCGGGGTCTCACTCTGTCCCCAGGATGTGCAGTGGCACTCACAGCAGCCTCAACCTCCTGGACTCAGGTGATCCTTCTAATTTATACAAGGCCTGTGATAGTAGTTTAGAAACTCAACAGATGATGCAAGTACCAATAACAACGTATTTTGTATCTTTTCTACAAAGGAAACTGCTAGTATTCTTAGAGTAAAGGATTGGTGTTCATTAACATAAGGTAATAGTGAGCTCTGGAAAAAAAGTCACCACAAAATTCTAAAGCTGTGTAATCAAATTCAGTTTCATTGACTGTCAGTTGAAATAGGAATGTTTCATTTATTTCTTACAGGGAATTTTTTAGTTAATTAAATAAATCAGGAGAAAAGATCACATAGCAAAGCAAGAAATAACTGCCCAATTACTTGTCAATATCAGTTGGGCCACTGTTTTCTATTTTGCGTACGGAGGTTCTATTATTCAGGTACAAATGAAAAACATCCCAGGAAAATTATGCTATTTTTACACTTGTTCTTAATTTCAATGACAAAAAGTTTAATTCAACTAGAAGGCAATAAAATAAGCTAGTGTTTGTTACTGGTCAAATGATGGACTTTATTAAATGGTGTGCTAAAAGCTAAAATGATGGTGGCTAAGACAATGGGAATAATTATTAAAAAAGAGAGAAAGAGGAAGGGAAAAAATTACCCATCTAAAAATCAAAGCAAGCCTAGGGTATTTAGCTTTTTAATTAAACTTCTAGCCATAAAGCCTGAAATTTACTACCATTGCCATACACATCTTCATTTTTTATTTCCATTTTTTTCAGAAAATTGTCTTAGAATTTCTAGAAGCTGTTTCTTAAGTATTAAAACTTTCTGGTTAGGTATGGTGTTTCACACCTGTAATTCCTGCACTTGGGGAGGCTGAGGAGGGAGGATCACTTGAGCCCAGGAGTTTGAGAATAGCCTAGGCAACACAACGAGACCTTGTCTCTACAAAAAAGTAAAAAAATTAGCCAAGTGTGGTGGTGTACACCTATAGTTCCAGCCACTTGGGAGGCTGAGGCAGGGGGATCACTTGAACCCTGGAGTTGGAGGCTACAGTGAGCCATTGATCAGGCTACTGCTCTCCAGTATGGGAAACAGAGTGAGACCCTGACTCAAAAAAAAAAAAAATTTTTTTCTGATTGAGAAAACAAAAGATTCATGAAGATCTAAAGAAAAAAAAATAAGATCGACAATTGAATAAGTACTGACAGTTATAATTATCAAGTGAAGAACTTAATTACAAAAAACCCTAGAAAATCTTTTAAACTAATCAATCACTAAATTAATTTTGCACTTTCATTAGATAAAATTTTAAAACAGGATAGAAACTACTTTCTTACATTTCATATGAAATAAAAGATAGTGTGTAAAGATGTAAACCATAAAAATCCTATTTAAGAAGCTGAACCAGGTCGGGTGTGGCAATTCATGTTTGTAATTCCAGTGTTTTGGGAGGTGGAGGCAAGAGGATCACTTGAGACCTGGAGTTCAATCAAGACCAGCCTGGGAGACATAGTGAGATTCCATCTCCACAAAAAATAAAGAAAACTTGCCAGGTGTGGTGGCATATGCCTGAGTACTGGACACCCAAGAAGCTGAAGTGGGAGGATTGCTCGAGTCCAGGAGTTTGAGGCCATAATTGTGCCACTGCACTCCAGCCTGGGTGACAGAGTGAGACTGTGTCTCTAAAAAGGGGGAAGAAAAAAAGGAAAGAAAAAGCCTATGCTCTTCTCTAAAACAAGACCTCAAGAAAGTCCTTGATGGAGCTCGATGTAGGATTTAGATGAAGAGCACAGCAAAGGGATTCAACGTGCATATCCTAAGGTGGATAGAAGAGAATTCTGGATTGTTCACTCAATGTCAGGGGACAAGGTGGCTGGCTCAGGGTCACTGGCTCAATTCTACATTTCCTTATGTGTGCCTCTAATTCCTCTTTTTTTTTTTTCCAGAACCTATTCTCCTGAGACCATAAAGTTAACTTTCATATGCCTGACTTTCATGTAAGTCATACTTTGAAACATTTATACACTGATATTCCTAAAACTCACCTTTCCTACTCTAATTTCAGAATTTATCCTTCAGGGTACAAATAAACATTTGCAACCATAGCCTGTTTAGCCTGCTTTCCAAACACTGAAGCACTGCCATTTTCTTCTCTACAGTAAGGCAGGTATTCTTCAATGTTTTATTGTATTTTACTCTTGCTATTTTATAAAAATAAGTGGGAAGCAAAAAAATACTAATGATAAAAAATATAGAGTTCATACATTTAATACAATTGAAACAAAGATGCTCATCATTTATGCCAAAAACTGCAAATTTTTAGTAACAAGTGGATCAAATGGTTACTGGGTCACAACAGGAAAAAATTAAAGAGCATATATGAAACATGAGTTATATGAACATGTTAATCTGCTGTTCAACTTGTACATATTCAACTTCTCTACATGTCCTAAGGTTTACACATATGTATGACAAGAGAGAAGTAAATTTTTATGCCACTCTGGATTCTTTCAGTGACCAAAAAGTTATTTGTTAAATTGAATTTGCTATAAGGTACTACTTAATGAGTAGTACTACTTAATGAGTCACACCTCCACCAAGGAATACTTAAATTGACTATTGTAGTTGACTTTTTGCAAGTCACCAAACATGTACTATTGCTTCCTATGTCCGAGCCTATGCTTAACTCTGAGTGACAAAAAAACAGGTAAGAGAGGAGCTGGATCTGTTAGAGATTCTGAAATCAGACCATGATATATCAGTGTATATGATAACTCCTCACATTGGATAGGATACTTTATTGTAGATAAAGCAGAGAAACCAAGGATCAGAGAAGTGTGGCTGTCCCAAAGCAGAGTTAGGACTTTGAGTCTAGGTCTCCTAACATCTAGCGCAGCGACCTTTCCTTTTGATCATTCGTTCTTTTAGAATATGTGACTTTAAAAAGACAATGTCCACAGATGGAGACATTTTAGGCTTTGTGTCATCTAAATGGACAAGGTAACTTTTAGGCAGGGTACCATAGCTGAGATCTCTCAAATCTTAAGGCAGCTATTCATTCTCTTCTCTTGTGTAAAAGAGCTGAACACTTATGTCTTCACCTGACCAGGGTGTGAAGTTTTTTGTAGTAATGCAGGCATTGGCACATTCCTGCAAAATCAGTTTCAACTAACCCTGACCTCTCCCCATCTAGACCCTCTTTTGTGATCCTGCCTTTTCCAGCCACTCCATGATTTGCCTTCTGATTTCCTTTTCTTTGTGCTTTGTAGAGCCATGTCTGGCTCGCTCTTCTTTCTGATGTGCTTTCTTCATCCTCGTTAAAATTGCCCCTTTACTTTTCTTTCTGACCCTGTGTAAAATTTTCTTTTTCTTTTTGGAGAATTTAGCCTGAAAGGGAAAAACATGTTTAACTGACTGCTTTATGAAATAATAAGACTGAAAGTTTCCTTTTCTGAAGCTAAAACTTATTTATATTATTTATTTAACTATAAAGAATTGAAAGTAAGTATAAAGCAAATATATGCATATTTGGAGTATTCTTAATAATCATTACAAAAGCACTATAAAGACTTCTGCAATTTTTTATTTAAGAATTATTGCTATATATTATCAGAAAGTTTGAAGAAGATCAGATTAGATAAGTGTTCTATAACAAATGCGAATGTAATACAGGGACGCTTACTGACTTTTATGAAGACTATTGAATTAACATTTTAAAGTCAACAAACACTGAATTAGCCCTTAATATATATAGCAGGCAATTCATGAAAGTTACCTTACATGGAAAAGCACAGAATCTTCTTGATTCTTTCTGTAGAAACATTTGAAGGCACAGACCTCCTAATTTAACCTTGTTTTTTTGATAAGAGAAACAGGTATTCACGAATTTCTCATACATAATTACAGAGAAACTTTAAAATCTTCTTAGAATAATAGGATATATACATAAATGTCATAGCTTGCTCACCTTTCCATCAAAGCGTTTTATTATATACTGATCCAGACCCAAGTCTGTAAAAGAGAAAAAAATAACACTTAGCCATTGATTATAACTCAAGTGAAATATATAAAATGGAAGCTTTCAGTTTTGTTTCAAAACCTTCAGTTAAAAGTACTAGATGTTGGCTATGTTGACCACCGCCTTGAGCCTTTTCCCACATCCATGGTCAACCCCACCATGTTCTTTGACATTGCTGTCAATGGCGAGCCCTTGGGCCGCGTTTCCTTCAAATTGTTTGCAGACAAAGTTCCAAAGACAGCAGAAAACTTTTATGCTCTGAGCACTGGAGAGAAAGGATTCGGTTATAAGGGTTCCTGCTTTCACGGAATTATTCCAGGGTTTATACGCCAGGGTAGTGACTTTACACACCATAATGGCACTGGCAGCAAGTCTGTCTATGGGGAGAAATTTGATGATGAGAACTTCATCTTGAAGCATATAGGTCCTTGCATCTTGTCCATGGCAAATGCTGGATCCAACACAAATGGTTCCCAGTTTTTCATCTGCACTACTAAGAGTGAATGGTTGGATGGCAAGCATGTGGTTTTTGGCAAGGTGAAAGAGGGCATGAATGTTGAGCAAGCCATGGAGGGCTTTGGATCCAAGAATGGCAAGACCAGCAACAAGATCACCATTGCTGACTGTGGACAACTCTAATAAATTTGACTCGTTTTATCTTAAACTACCAGATCATTCCTTCTGTAGCTCAGGAGAGCACCCCCTCCATCCCATTTGCTCGCAGTATCCCTATAATCTTTGTGCTCTCGCTACAATTCTTTGGGTTCCATATTTTCCTTATTCCCTTCCACATCTAGTTGAATTGCAGAGAAAAAAAACCTAAATAACAACAACACAAAAGTACTAGATGTTTAGCCATGACATTTATTCAAAGGTCATAGGAATGAATATTTTGCCTCACTTTCAAACTCAAAGTATGAGTGCTAAAAGACACCAATACTTTTATTTTACATATCAAGAAAGTAAGGTTATGAGAAGTTAAGCAGAGTAAAAGCTGCATGTGCAAACCTATTCAACAATATAATCAAACTAGAACTCTGGACTTCTCCCAAGATGGTGCTGTTTTCATTACATCAAGGTGCTATATTACCTCTAATTAAGAACAAGAAAGAGTTCTAGACACTTAAAATTTTGATTACCTATCACTCTTTTTTTTTTAGTCGGAGTCTCATTCTGTCGCCCGGGCTGGAGGGCAGTGGCACACTCATGGCCACCATAGCCTCAACCTGCTGGACTCAGGTGATCCTTCCACCTCAGCCTTCCAAGTAACTGGGACCACAGGTGCATGCCACCATGCCCAGCTAATTTTTTTGATTTATTGTAGAGACAAGGTCTCACCAAGTTGTGCAGACTGGTGGGCTCAAGCAATCCTCTCACCTCTGCCTCCCAAAGTGCTGGAATTATAGGCATGAGCCACCGCACCCAGCCCTATTTTTAATATACTGTCAAAAAAAGAAAATAAGGTAACATTCCAGACTACTGAAAAAAAGACAGCATGACAGCAAACAGAAAATACAAGAGAGAATTACAGAAAAACAGAGATTTAATCCAAGAGATTTAATATCCTACAGAACATTTTGTCATTCAGAAATAGGGAGGAAATAATTCAAAAAAGATTAGCAATAATTTGCTCAAAACTAAAGGAGACAAACTAAGATCTTACACCAAGTGTTCCAAGCAAGAAGAACAAAAACTACCCACACTTCAGTGTATGCTTGTGAAATTTCTGAATACCAAGGATAAGAAAATCCTAAAGGTTTCCAGAAAATAAAATAAAAAAAATCAAACTTCCTGGTTCCTTAAAAAGGAATGACATCAGACTAGAATCAGATGTCTCAGAAGTAAAACTTGGTATACCAACTAAGGAAGATACATATTTACTAACTGCAGTGGCACTGCCTAACTGAAATATGAGTAACAAATACAAGTCACACATGTAATTTATTTATTTATTTATTTTTGAGTTGGAGTCTCACTCTGTCACCCAGACTGGAGTGCAGTGGACGCTCCCGGCCACCGCAGCCTCGACCTGCTGGGCTCCGGTGATCCTTCCGCCTCAGCCTTCCAAGTAGCCAGAATTACAGGCATGCGCTACTACGCCCGGCTGATTTTTTTATTTATTGTAGAGATGAGGTCTTGCTGCCCAGGCGGGTCTCGAACCCACGGGCTCAGGCAATCCACTCACCTCAGCCTCCCAAAGGCGCGGGATTACAGGCTGAGCCACTGAGCCCGGCTCACATGTGCAATTTAAAATTTTCTAACAGTCATCTTTAAAAAGGTAAAAAGGATGAAACTCTGTCATTTGAGGCAACATAGATGGAACTGGAAGATGTATGTTAAGTGAAATCAGCTAGGAACAGAAAGTTAAACACTGCATGTTCTCACTCATATGTGGAAGCTAAAAAAAGTTTATCTCTTAGAAATAAAAAGTAGAACAGAGTGTACTAGAGGCTGGGAAGGATAGGGGAAAGGGGAGGATTGGGGAAGATTTATTAAAGGATACAAAATTACAGCTAGATAGGCGAAATAAGCTCTTTTTTGTTCTGTAGCATTGTATAATTAACAATACAGCATTTCAAATAGCTAGAAGAAGGACATTCAATGCTTTCAACGCAAAGAAATGATAAATGAAAGGAAGAATATTTTAATTACCCTGATCTGATCTCTATATATTAATGTATCAAAACATCGCTATGCAGTCCATAAATATGTACAATTATTATGTCAATTAAAAATTAACATTAAAAAATTTAAAGGTAAGAAGAAACAAGCAAAATCAATTTTAATATTTTACTTAATTGAATATAACCAAAATAGTATCGTTTTAAGTAGTAAACAAGAGAAAATATTGAGATATTTTACTTTCTTTATATTAAGTTTTCAAAATTGGGGGGTGTATTTTATAATTACAATACATCTCAATCTCAATTCAGACTTGCCACATTTCTTTTTTTGGGGGGGGTCAGAGTCTCATTCTGTCACCCAGGCTGGGGTGCAGTGGCATGCTCATGACCACTGCAGTCTCGAGCTGCTGGGTTCAGGCAATCCTTCTGCTTTAGCCTCCCAAGTAGTTGGAAATACAGGAGTGCGCCACCATGCCCAGTTAATTTTTTGATTTATGAGACGAAGTCTCACCATGTTGCCCAGGCTGGTCTCAAACTCCTATGCTCAGGCAATTCTTGTACCTCAGTCTCCCAAAGTGCTGTGATTGAAGGCGTGAACCACTGTGCTTGGCAGACTGGCCACATTTCAAGTGCTCAATAGCCACATGTGGCTAGTGGCTTCTGCACTGGATAGCACAGATTTTAAGCTATCAAGGTAATCTCAGAAAAACTCAAAACTTAACCTAAAATTTTAAAAGTGGTTACTTTTGTAACATAAACTGGGGGGGAATCAAGAAGATGGAACAGATTTATGTTTTTAATGTTATGCTCTTCATTATAGCTTAAAAATTGGGGGAGGTATGTATTGGCACTAACTGAGAACTCTTGTCATTTATAAGCAAATACTGACATGCAGTAGGTCAAGAGTTTCATAATTTCAAGTTGAAAGAAATTATTATTTCACCTAGTAATATTTTGATTTCTCTAGACTAGATCAGTTTTTAAAGTATCTGGAAGTGGAATGTGGGCGGATAAAGTGGTTCAAGCTATCCTCCCTTACTACTCCTCTAGAGATTCTAACAGGTCCAATTACTGGGGGTAGGGAAAGCATGGAAAATGAAAGTAGAAAAAATAGTATGTATAGTTTGAAAATGATACTCAGATGACTTCCATATGACATGGTTTCCCTTTCATTTGGCTACCCAAATCCTTTAATCCCAGTTTAGAAACACCAAATTCTAGCTATGTTGTTTTTGTAAGGTGCTTCTTTCAATTCTTAAACTTTTCTTCAAAGAATTTTTAGTCATTTAACGTTCATACTGTGAAGTAAGCACTATCTTTGCCTTTTTATTAAGGAGAAAACTGAGACTCAAAAGGGTTAAATGACGATATTCTGATTTTTAAGTCTAGAGATCTTTTAATTATGGCAGTTGCCTCTTTTCTTGAGTTTACACCAAAAGTAATGTAAAAATACACAAATAGAACTGTCTCAGTTTAAGTCTCACAGTGAGGATTTAAAAGGAGACTTTTGTTTTGAAGACAACAGCAAATGATTTTGTCAAACTCATTTTGTCAGAAGACACAAGGGCAAATGAATGAAATATATCATTTTGAGATCTATAAATTAGAATCTAGGTAAATGAAAACTGAATAATTTTAGTTAAGAAGTCCCAGTTATCTCTCAAAACTTTAGAGATTCGGTTTTTTAACACTTAAACATAACCTAAACATTTATTAAAATGATATTTTTCAACAATGCAAGCTAACGTAAGCTAGCAAAAGAAAATATAGTTCTGGTTTGTCAGGTATGAGAGATACTACTAACTTAGCTTTATCTTCTGTCTTAATAATCACTGCGATAAGTTTTATTATTTAGTTGGCATTTTTGTAGGTCTTGAAATAGGTACTGTACAAATATCACTTCATTTTATCTCAATTTTATAAATGAAAAAATTAAGATTCAGAAATATTAAATAAAATGCCTAAGATTACTGACCTATATTTCCACTTTCTTATAATTATCTTCATGCACTCCTGTCCATTTCATCTTAAATTCCTTTGATAATTATTCTGCTTACCCCTTAAATACTCATACTACTTGGAATTTCCTCCTTGGATCCCAACTCTTCTCATTTATGCTCTTTGTCACACTAAATTAATTACAAAGTCAAGACGCCTAGTAGACTCAAAACAAAAGGATAAACTAAACTGAAAAAAAAGAAAGAAAAAATCAAGCTGCTGAAAATAAAAGAAAAAGAAAAGCTTTTTGAAGTAGCCAGTTTACAGTGCTGAAAGAAAAGAGTTTCAACCCAGAATTCTTTATCTACGTGAAAATATCCTTCAGGAATAAAGACAAAATAAAAGTATTCTAACATGAAGGAAAACTTAGA